CTCACTGCCAGGTACTGCTGGGTAAAACTACATGAGACTAAGCCCTGACTCTAAGAGGGGGCAGGGCTGGGCAAAGCATATGAGACAATTTTAAAGCCCTGTTAACTTTTTCCATTTTAACCAGTCATTCTGGATGAAGCACCAGCTCTCTTGGGAGGCCCGTTCTAAGGCATTCCATGGGACCCAAAGCCAGCCATAAAAGACTAGCTTGAGGCAGAGCTGCTGGGAGAAGACTGCATTTGAATTCCCCATCTAGATTCAGAAGGTCAGAACTAGAGAAGGCCACCTTTTTACTCACTACTTCTACAAGAAACACATGATGGAATGACCTCAGATTTCCCCCAACTTTTGAGGTTTCAGAAGCAAACTATGTTGCTCAGAAGTACTGAAAGACATTCACATCTATACATAGATTCACAGGGGTTGAAAAGCAAAGACCAAATGGCTAGCCAGGGAGCAGATGAGTTGTATTTTAGAGTCAGGTATGGTGGATTCCAGACACATAGAATGTAGCAGTAGCATCATAGATCAAAGTCTCCAAGGCTTCAGAGTCTTAGCTTTAGGAGCATGAATAGAAGCAAAGGTTTAGGCTGTCATATTGAGTTGCAACTTTGTTTGAAATTCACCTTGGCATTGAGCACCCTTTTTCAGTGACTCTCCTCATATCTGAAAGCTTGGACTTATAAAATAATGAGTAATGCCTATCATTTAAAATATACCTTTTAGCATGCTCTTCACAAAGTATGCTCGGTTCTTAACACTATGTCAATACAAAGTGTCACACCTGTTATTAATGGGTACTAACCACCACTACATATAGCTGAAATGTAATACTCTGTGCATTAGTGAAATGCACTTGGACAGTGACTAAGATGAGTTCATAGAAGCTCTTACAACACAAACTGCTAGGGCCTGAAGCAAGTGCCTATGAGGAGACTGTGAGGTTCACATTGCAGCCTTGGTTGTACTAATAAGGAAAAGACCTAGCTGAGTTCTAAGGACAAAGGGAATAAAACAGAAGAGAAATCTTACCACCAAACACAGGGGTAGGAAAAATGCCTGGATAGCTGTCACTTGGTAGAAAGAAGTACCCTATCCAGTACCCATAGTGTTTTCCAGTGTGTGATCTGAATTCACACAGCTCAGCAGCTAGCCAATCTCATCATAAGGCAGGTAACTCTCCCCCCACCCTGGGCACAGTGTGCATCGAACAAAAACAACAAGCTCCATTCCTTCCTCCCATGGGAGACTTCAGACGTCAAAGTGGGCTCTGGTTTAGCATGCCATGAGGAAGGCTGTGCAGACAGAGACTCTTGTCAAGGCTCTGTAAAGCCTTGTGCAGTCTGTGGGGAACAATAAGAATGCAGATCTAAATGTAAGTTACAGGCTGATGGGCCCATTAGGAATTAGGGCAGTCTTTGAAAAGAATCTGCAGAGATGACGCAAAACACCAAGCATGTGACCCAAATCATGGCAGGGCACATTGGATGGAGAGGGGAATGGGAATGAGCCATTTTCTAATCTGATTAGTCTGAAGTTTCCCCTGAGTATGGAGAAGGGTCACTGCACAATTACAGGCAAAGTAAGACTGAACATGGGCTGCTCGGCAGCAGAGAGGCATGACCCCTCAAAGCTAAGCCAGGCTTGGAGGCAGTCATACAGAGATTGAGACAGATTCCAAAACAAGTTGCAGAAGAGACTTTTTTAAATTTAATGTCAAATCATAAAGGCAAAGACAAAATAGTCTGCTGAGAGAAAGGGAGGATGATGGGTTGGTGGCCTTAACATTGGCTAAGAATTCTGAGTCTTCCAAGGCCAGGCTCCCACATCACTGAACTCTCCAGCAGAACTCATCCTCAAGCCCATCAAGAGATAATCTAATAAAGATCTGCAGCTTCCTGACTAGAAGACAGCTTAATGTATGAAAGTCATCCAGATCCAACTGTCACAATACAGGACTCCCTCCATAAAAGACACAGGGCCCTTGCAGTCAGGTTTTGAGGTTCACTGTATGAACCTCACCATATGATCTCTGGCTCAGCTTTGCCCCTAGTTCCCAGCCAAGAGATAGGTACCCAATGCTGTGCCATGTACTTTGCGTATGCTTCTCAGTGACCCCTCACAACTCAGGGGACCTAAACACTAGGAAGTAAATTGGTTACCCATTTTACTGGGAAGATTGAACAGCTTTAAGTGGCTTCAAAGGATGTAAGAGATGATGTGGGGTACCAAAACTAACAAGGCTGAGCTGCTTGTTGCTTGTTCACAGGTAGCAAATCAAATACATCAGGAATAGAGTCAGCAGGTGAATGGACCAAGGGTGAAGTCACAACTCTTTATTATGATGTAAAGGACAAAAGAAAAAAGGCAGAATTCCAAGAATTCTTAGGAGAAAATCACTGCGATCATCAGCTAAGCATGGGTAAGAGAGCTTGACATATGTGCTGCTGCTTGAAGGAAGTCTTGAGGCAGCTTTCAAAGAGTCAAGAAAATTGGAAGCATTTCCTACTGAAAAAAAATAGCCAAACAAAAACCAAAATGGTTCAAAAGCAGGGAATATAAGTGCAAAATGCCATATGGCCCATTTCTCTGAATTATGGCAAAGGAAGTAGAGGCCTCGGGAGCATGATGACTATAAAGAATCTGGACCTTAGGCTTACTTCTTTATTTCAGCTGTTTTACATCAGGATTACCAACTTCCCCTCCACAGTGATAGTAGCAAATAAAAGCAAATAGACCTAAACAAGCAAGCAATCAAAAAAGAAAAGAAAAAAGAAATGGAGATGACTCTCTAAGAGAATTCCTCTAGGTCAGTTCATGGAACACTAACATCTGTCTGGACTTACTTCCTCTAGGTTCCTCTCCCAACACCTTAGATTCTAGATCCCCAGCATGGGAATTATTTTTATTTTTCCATTCAAGTTTTGTCTCAGATGGAAACTCTCCAGCACAGCCCTATTTGAGAAGAATATTCCAACGAAAAGTTCTGAGACCAGGACAGAAGAATTTATCTTCCTGTACACAACAAAGAAATAGCATGGTTGTGTAAAAAAGGGTATCACAGGTCAGTTTTGCTCTGAGATGGTACTTAGCTGCCCCATGCAAACACAGATCTGAAACTCCAGAGATCAGTAGAAGATCAATATGGAAATGCTGCACTTATCAGACAGAAGAGTGGTCATAGTGATGATGGGGGAGAAATGGATGAGGCCAGTGGAAGGATAAAGAATTGTCAAGGCATCCTAATATGCTAAGAATTTGTAGACAATAATTCAAAACTATTACAAACAAGGGGTACAAACTAGAAGGTTCAATGGTCAGGTTATGGGTGGGTCTTCTAGAATATTGTGACCTGGAGGAAAAAAACAATCTTTCTCTAAACCTCAACAATCGCATATGCAAATAGGAGAGGTAATAGTTCTGTCCACTCTAGTTGTTCTTAAAAAGTACATGAAATAGTGCATAAAAGGCAGTTATCATACCTGGAACAAAGAAAAAATATCAGAATTTTCAAGATATATAAGTCAGAGGGCAAGAGGTGCTTGGAATAATGTTATAGGAAGCATAAATGGCCAAAATAAGGGTGACAGTATGGGTGGTGTCTTTCATGGCCCCATCATCTCTGTTTTACACCTGGCTCTAGAGGAGGAGACAAGTGCTTATAACCCTAGGTCTTCTTAGTGCATATGTTTAACCACTAGGCTTTACAGCAGTATTATAACCAATAAAATTGTTCATTTCATTTAGCCCAAAGGATAAAATTCATAACAGGTATTATAAGAATTAAAAGAATTAGATTAATTAAAAGAATAAAAATCATGACTAAGCTTTCCTTTCATAATACTTACAAGTGGGTTATCAAAAACAGTCAAGGGTAAAACAAAGATAATTAAAGATAGTCCCACAAACTGATCTAGAAAAGAAAATCCAGATAAAACAAATATTTATCCACTGCCTCAGTGATAGCAACTGAGGAACACAACCCTTCTTTGTTCAAACCAAAGCTCTTGCTATGCATCAGAGGTGCTTCCTAGGAGTTGTCATCATCCTTGGGAGGTTTGCCCATCACTGGTGACAGCCATGGACAAAAGATGAATTATAAAGAAAAATGATACTAAAAGAACAGATTTAATAAAGCCACAAGTATATGTTTGTTAAAGGAGCTGCTTGATAAACAGAGTACAGTGACTGTTCAGCACAGGAAAGAGCTGGAAGGGCTTTCTGGGCATATGATCTGACATGAGGTCTAGAAGGACTAATGGAGACTTATTTTCGGTACGTTATGTACATTTTTGATTACAGTGATTAGAACCATGACTAAGTGACCTCACTCAAAGCAAGCAGAACAGCAACAGAGCTTTCCCTCTGTGAGTTTGAGGCCAACCTGGTGTACAGAGTGACTTCCAGGACAGGCTCCAAAACAATACAGAGAAACCTTATTTAAAAAAACAAAAACAAAAAAACAGAGCTTGCCCTCTGACTCTCATTTCTTCTGTTGTTGAGTTTCTATGTTTTAAGTGTGTTTGTCTGCCATCTGAATCTTTAGACACCTGAACCATCTCTGTCAGAAATTTATAAATATACTTTACTTGTTTCATATGTCCAACTATGTACTTCTCAATGCAAAGGACTCTTATGTAAAAAATATTTAGGCTGGGTGGTGGTGGCACTCGCATTTAATCATAGCATTCAAGAAGCAAAGACTGGTGGATCTCTGTGAGTTTGAGAACAGTGTGGTCTACAGAGCTAGTTCCAGGACAGGCTCCCAAACTACAGAAAAATCCTGTCGTGAAAAACAAACAAACAAACAAAATGATTGGGTAGAGGAATGGATTCAGTAAGGATTTTGCAAGGGTAATAATTTTGCTTCATATAATATATGTGAAATAATTTTTGAACATTATTAATTATAGTATGCTTTAAATAAACAATCAAAAATGCTTGTCCCCCAAATACAAACATGAAGACCAATTTCCCTCCAAGCGTGACCTCTCACTTACCTGGACAGTAAGCTATCTAGAAGGTCATCATTCAAAGGTAACCTGGAGGACTTGCACATCCTTTTGATGTCTTTGGTGGGTAATACCCCTTTTCTGTATTCAAAGAAAATAAATGGGAGTTTATGTGTTACATGTATTTCTAATAACAGTTGCACACTATAAGAAAGAAAATATGAATGAGATATATCTTAAAATGGAGGTATGAAAACTGGCACTGGAACTGAAAGTAAAGAAAAACAGTCCTCATATTGCATTTCACCAATGTTTTCCACATCAGGAGTAAACAGACTGTCCTTAGAAAAGCCTTTCAAGATTCAGATTCCAATTCTTGGTTGGTGATAGTACAGCATATTAAGCTGTAGCCATGAGTGTTGCTCTAAGTAATTGATCTGTATTCTTGACCATTAGTCAAAATGGTTTTAACATTTGAAAACATCTCCTAATTTGACAGGCATTTAAAGCCTCCAACACAAGTATAATATGACTTGGGGGTATTTTTATGGACTTTTCCTTGGACCCAAATCCAACTGGGGCCTTCACTTTGATTTTCTCAAAATCAAGTCATGTTTCTACAGGAGGCCCAAAGGTCACTTTATACAGAACAAAATTTCTTCTGTGTTCTCAGTCAACTGGTGTTTTTTCATGAACACACAAAAGTAAAACCCAAAAGGAAAAAGTGGGATCTTTCTTTGCATTAAAGGTGTTGAGATCAGATCTACAATCAAAATACATTAAGATTACTGTATCGAGCTGTGTATTAAAAAAATGATCTGGAACTGGAGAGATGGCTCAGTAGTTAAAAGTGCTGGCTGCTCTTCCAGAGGACCCCAATACTCATGTCAGTGACTCACAACCACCTGTAACTCCAGCTCTAGATTACCCAGAGCCCTCTTCTGACCTCCACAGGCACTGCAGTGATATCTATATGCACACAGAGAAACAACGTGCATATACACATAAGTAAAGATAAAAGCCCTTTTTAAAAGGAAAAGGTATTTTAAAATGACCTAACAGAACTGAACACACATGCACTTTGCATTAGAAATAGATCACACAGACCTTTATTATTTTTTAAAAAGAAATAGCTCCCACTAGACCTGCAGATTTATTTCAAGACCTTTGCCCTGTGTATTATAAAAGCCACAGTTTATAAATCTTAGTTAGTACCAAAATAATATAAAGATGATACCTCATTAACAAACCCTCTTATGTCTTCATTTGCTCTATTTTAGTCAAAAACACCTAGAAACAAATGAAAATTCAAGAGAGCATCCTATTCTTTTTAAGATAAAGGTTCTCTTCTATCTCTCCCCTATCCTCTATGATTTAAGGTAGTTTTTCTAAAAATGTTTATTATGATGAGGCTTGTCAACTTTCTTTATGTTCATTTGCATAAGATGCATAAATTCCTTTATTAGTCAAGTTTACATAAACTTAAATGATTTATTAGAATCAATAAAAGCAAAGCTTACTTTTCTCTGTCTTCATACACACAGTTGTAAATGAACATGTCAAAATTCTCAAACATATTTTTCTTGAACTTTTCATGGGCCTGTGCAATTAAGTAAGTTAAGTCTGGATCCGTGATTTCAGGCACACGATAGTGACGGGCAATGGTTATGAGCTCCTGGTCTATGAGCTTCCCCACAGTTATACTCATCAGTATTTCTCTGCAAAATGAAGTAGAACAACACTCACAAAATGCCATAGAAGAATATTTTCTTTCTCTATTTAGAAAGTTCAAATTCTATTTTATAAAACTGTTACTGTGTCTCAGGGGACAATGATTACTGTTAGTTATTTTGATATTTTTTTCCTTCCTTTTCCAGCACTAATGACTGAATTCAGGCCTCTCACATGGGAGACAAACCCTTTACCATTGGGCTATAATGCTAGTCCTTTTGTTACTGTTACCATTATTTTTACTTCAAGACAGAGTTTACCTAGGGTAGCCTTGAATTCACTCTGCAGCCCAGACAGGCCTTGAACTTGAGATTCTCCCACTTCAGCTCCCAACTAGTGTGATTATAGTGATTATACACCCACAGGTCTAGAAATTGTTTAAATTAATTCATATAGTTAATTTAGCAGCAAGAAGATAGCAATGCTAAGATGGAAATAATAAGGATCATAATTTATAAATAAAATAATACCTTGTTGACTTTGAGAATAATTTGCAATGAGAAGTTTATTAATTAAGGCATTGGAAGGTTAAAGCACCTGTCACTAAGTACATGACTTGGTTTAATGTTTATTCATCTTCCTTAAAAGAAATAGTAACTGACTTAGGTTTCTGTTTTCCCAGAGCATGGGATTTGTAAGTCAATAAGCTAGAAGGATATTTTGTAGACAGGAAAAGCAGTTGTTCACATTTCTATTGCCAAAAGTACAAACGGATACACCCTGGCAATGAGAAAAAACTTAAAAGAGTCATGTAAGAATCCAGCTGTCTGATTGTTTAGAAGACAAATGGCATTGAGATTATTTGGCAGTGCTAAAAATCGAAACAACAACAACATATTAATGATGAGGAGGATGCAAAGCCTAACACACTGTCTGTGCTGTTTTCAATATATAATCTGTATGAAAGCTATAAATTGTGCAGCCTACATTAGGAAGAATTACATCAAAATCATTAAAATGAAAAATGTCACAGAGGTTACATGATTAAACTTCCACAAGAAAACTGACTTACTGAAAATAATTCCGTTCTCAAGAGTCCCAAATAAACAAGGGAAAATGAGATTTTATTTCTTCTCCTATTATTGTTGGAGTTTTCAGATTAGTAGCCTTTGGTTCATTTAGTTATTTCTGATCGGTATCATTATTTAAGGATCTCAGAAAGTTATGTATGGTAGTGCCTTTAGAATGCTTGGGAGGCTGAAGCAGGAGAATTGTTAGGAGTTTAAGGTCAACCTGAGAGAGACCCTATATCAAACACACACGCACACAGACAAGGGGCTTGGGGAATATGAATAAGAACTAATTAATTAATTAATTAATGCCAGGTTATCCTAATCAGGAATTTCCTACTGCATAATCCATGATCTTGCCCCATCTAAAGAAACTTCATTTTACATACAGTTCAGGCTATTGAGCTTTCCTGCTTTGCTTTTGTATTTTTAATGAAGGCCAAATTCAACAAAAAAGCATCTCTCAGTGTCAGGAATTCAGGCTAATCAATATTGGCAAGGGATATACTTCGTGGGAAACCCTATGAAAGGCATGCTAGCATCTGAATTTTTCAGACTCTATACTACAGCTGGGCTGTCCAAGCATGAGATGAGGTCTCAAGGCCACATGCTAGTAGGACCAAATGAGTGAAGTAACAGCAATAACAACTTCTACTGTTTGTTAAAGACTAGCTATATCGTGTGTTACAGATACATTCGGCATGGATTGTGTCACCTGGCGTAACAGGTTGGTACTCATTTTACAGATGAGAATATGGAGGTACCAATATGTTAAACAATCTGCTCAATTTTCCAAAAGCTCAATGTGATCCTAAGCACCTGGTCTCAAAGCATATGCTTCTTTGTATTACTCTATGCATTCTTTATCTAGAACAGAAGACAGGATGGATGGAAGAGAGGCTTAGAAAAAAAACTTCCTTGAAGAACACGAGACTTGAACTAAACTGTATGTGTCTGTAGAGTCAGGGATGGAAGCTAGTTCCTTACAAATGCTAGACAAGAACTTGATCAATGATTCCCAGCATTGAGTTCAGTTTGTATGTACCTCTTTTCTCTTTGAAGTCCAGACTATGGTTTGCAAATTCATGTGTTGAAAACTTAAATTTCCAAATTCAAGCTACTGGTATTTGGAGAGGGAGTTAGGGTTAGATAATAAGCTCATGAGGATGGGCCACTAAGTGGCTTCATAAAAGGAGGAACATAGCTGTGAGCTAGCTTGATTGCTCTGCTATTTTGCAATACCACCTGTCATATTATGATACAATAAAAGATGGCCCTTATCATATAGCAGCATCACATTCTTAGACTTCCCAGAAGTCTGAGCCAAACATTTCTTTGTAAACTACTAAGTCTTGGGTATTTTCTTATAGAAACAGAAAAATGGACTAAGATATTTTATTAACTTCTGTTTTGAAAACTGCAATTAGTCAACACAAGTTTAGAAACTCCCTGTCACTAAGTGTCCCTGAAAGAGGACTAATTGAAAATAGGAAAGAGTTTGCAAGGACAGATCTGGATCATTTATTGCAGTAGTAATGGAATAATGACCACACATAAAATGAAATACTTAATAATTACTAGTAGCAGCGATACTAGTGCTGATATTCTAATGAGTTTAAAATTATCCCAATAAAATTTAACATATAGATTGATATATAAACATATAGATTGATATATAATATAGGGGAAAACAGCAATCATGGGACACATACATGCCAAAAACATCAAGGACATTATCTCTGAATTATTTCTTTTTACAAAATATATTTTTAACCTTTCTGGGTTTCTGCATTAAGAAAATGTCCCTTTCAATACCTGAAATTCCAAAGCATTTGAAAGTAGAACACAGCATGAAGAGGAGTAAGTGGCACAGTCCCGCAACAGGAAGGGAGGGAGGGAGGGAGGGAGGGAGGGAGGGAAAAAGGAAGGGATGGAGGGAAGGGGAGGAAGGAAGGAAGGAAAATATGAACAGCAATACCTAGAAACTTTCCATACACCTTTAACTAAACTTATTATAGCACCTCCAGATCATAAAAGTGTATTTTTCTTTTCATTGCACAAACTGAAACTATCTTGGCTTCACTGCAACTCAAATTTATATCTGTTGGGTTCCCTCTATGCTTGTTTGAAATAGCTCAGTATCCCACAGCATTCCATTGCTTTATGTGAAGGCTTCACAATCAAACCACCCCACAAAAGAAACAGAGACCTGGCCCACAGTCCTGCAGTACTGCCTGTGGCTGCTCTGGAGTGAGGGGTGGGTCTTGCCCTGGAATCTCGACCCAGAAGCCCATACCCCACCACACAGACATCCAAATGGTGGCTGCTACATTTTGCTCCATATTTCTCATGTTCTTTAAGATTAGAATCATGTTGTCAAACTTCAATAAACTTCACAAGAAAAATTAAGAAACCTTTGCAAAAGTAGTACATTCTACTTTTTATTGTGGTGCAGAATAAACAGCATGAAATTTACCATTCCTGACATTTAGGAGGTGATAATGTTGTACAACTGCTACTTTTATCTAGTTTCCAAACATAAGATCACCCTAAAGAACACAGAACACTTTTAGTAGCTATTCTCTTTTCCTTCAGCCCACCAGCCTTCTCCCCTCCATGGCAGCCCCCAAGCCACTTTCAATCTTTTCCACTTCTTGTCAATTGCTTGCCAATTTCATATTTGGGTATTTCGTATAAATGGAATCATATGTGGTCTTTTATTACAGGGTTATCTTGTGTAACACAATGTTCATCTACATGGTAGTATGTTTAAGTACCTGATTCATTTTTATGATGGAAAAAAATCTCATTGTGTGAATATAGTGTATTCTTCTTATCCTTGTAGTCATGGATATCTAGATTGCTGCCACCCTTTGCTATTATAAATAGTGCTGCAATTGATATTTGCATACAAGCTTTTGCTTGAATACCTGTTTTGTTTTGTCTTACTTTCTTTGAGAAAGAGTTTTGCTATATAAGCCAGGCTAGCCTTTGAGTCTACTTTGTAGATCAGGCTAGACTCCAACTCATGCTAATCTTACTAACTCAGCCTCCCAAATACTGGGATTACACATATATGCCACCATGCTTATCTGGGTACCTGGTTTCAGCTTGGAGAGGATACATGTACTCAGGAATGCAATGTTTAGTATGCATAGTAATCAATATTTAACCCATTAAAGAACTGCCAATCTATTTTCTTCATACTCCACTTTAGTTTTGCAAAACCACAGAAACAAATGTCTAGTTTCTACCAATGACAGGAAGTCCTCACCTAAAATGAGACCTGATACCCACCATTCACCTCATCACTTCCTGTCCAGTCACTGAGGAAAAATGAAAATATACTTTAAAAACTGCCAACTTGGCAGAGGAACCAAATGTAGTTCTTAGCACCCATAAGCTACCTGTAACTCCAGCACCAGGTGATCTGATGCCCTCTTCTGGCCTGAATGGGCACTGCACTCAAGCACACAAACCCACATAAAAACACATAATTACAAAAATAAAATATCATCTTAAAAAACTTCACCTACTTACTATATTGGTCTTTATCTCACTGATTAATATTAACTATTTTAAATATTCCAATGTCAAATTACCTGTGTCTTTACTAACACTGTATTACATCCCTAGCACTAACATGTTTTATAGTTTAATATTGTGTTAATAATAGTATAGTTTAGTTAATAACAGAAAGAATACTGAAGCCAGGTGGTGGCAGTACATGCCTTTAATCCCAGCACTTGGTAGGCAGAGGCAGGCAGATTTCTGTGAGTTTGAAACCAGCCTGTTCTACAAAAAGAGTTCCTAGACAGCCACAAGAAATGTTAAACACAGAAATTCAGGAAAAAAAGAAAGAAAGAAAGAAAGAAAGAAAGAAAGAAAGAAAGAAAGAAAGAAAGAAAGGAAGGAAGGAAGGAAGGAAGGAAGAAAGAGAGAGAGAAAGAAAGAAAGAGAGAAAGAGGGAGGGAGGG